GGAGAAGCCATATCAATGCGTGGAATGTGGAAAGAGCTTCAGTGAGAGTGGCCATCTACGTTCCCATCAAAAGACCCACACAGGGGAGAAGCCACATAAATGTATGGAATGTGGAGAAAGCTTCAGTAAGAGTGGCACTCTACATTCCCATCAAAGGATCCACACAGGGGAGAAGCCATATAAATGTATGGAATGTGGAGAAAGCTTCAGTCAGAGTGGCACTCTACGTTCCCATCAAAGGATCCACACAGGGGAGAAACCACATAAATGTATGGAATGTGGAGAAAGCTTCAGTCGCAGTGACACTCTACGTTCCCATCAAAGGACGCACACAGGGGAGAAGCCATATAAATGTATGGAATGTGGAAAGAGCTTCAGTCGCAGTGGCAATCTACGTTCCCACCAAATGACTCACTCAGTACAGAAGCCATAGAAGTGCATAGAATGTGGAGAAAGTTTCAGGCAGAGTAACTATCTCGATTCCTTCCAAATCATCTCTTCATACTCTCGTCTCACGTCTTGGCTCTGTTGCCCCTCGGTTAGAATTTTGGCCTCTAGCCATGTACCTGTCACCCTTTTCTGGACTTTGTTGTATCCTGAATAGTTCTGGACTGACTTCCGGTTTCATTTATGAACCAGAACTTTATTTGTATGCCTGACTTTCTGGCTTGACTTTGGGACTCTGAATTCGGTTTGTACTTTTGTTATTTTATCAGCTCTGTTGAATGAACTCCTGGCATGTGACTCTGGGACTGTAACCTTTCTTCTTGCTCCTGACCGGGATCTGCAGTGCTCTACAATTGGACTCCTGACCTTAATTAACTTGTCTTCATTGTTACTCTGACTGTGTTGCTGCAATTGTATTATTTTACCAGGACTGGTGCACTTTAGTAGTAGCGAGGGCCAGCTCTGGGTTTTGGCCGCATCTAAAGCCGCACTTTATGAATCGCCCTAGTGGCCTGTAGCGGTGATCTGGACTACTATTGCACTTTAAGACATCTGCACTTTAGGATTATCTCACTGTTGTAGTTAAAGTCTGTCACCTTGTATTATTGCCATCTTACCGAAGGGTGTTGTTTCATCCATGTGGTCCCTCACCCGGTTATGCATACTGACACTGATACTACTGGCTAGTGGAAGGGGCGGGGGAGGAAGCAGGCTGGAGCCCGTGAAGAACAATGAAGAAGGGAGGGGGGATAAAGAAAATCAAGGTAACTGGCAAGAAAAAACGCCAACAATTCAAACAAATAGCGAAACAGGGACGAAGACCTTGGCCATGGATTGCGGCACGGAGGAGGGGAGGTGTTCCACTAGCCGAGGGGCCCCCATAGAGGTCGTGGTGGGAAGGAGGAGATGCGGAAATAGGAGACCTCAAATTCGGCTTAATTCGGACCGTTTATCTACATTAACAATTCCAAACCGGTCTCCTAAGGTAAATTGGTGTAACCAGGCTGGCAGGCCCTCCGGATTGAAGGTGGTGTTGCTGAACGCCAGATCTGTCAACGGCAAAACGACCTTTATCCAGGACTTAATCCTGGATGAACGGGCAGATC